GGCAGCCCAGCTCCAGGTTGAGCTGTTGTTCAGCATCTTAGCTGTAGAGGGCAGTGTCACTGGCCCTCATGTGTGGGATCTGAACCGGGGCCCTCTGGCATCCCAACCCAGCTCTTAACCAATGTGCCGCTCGGCTGGCCCTGGATATATATATATATATATATATATATATATATATATATATATATATTAAAGAAGTCTCTTAAGGTCCACAATATGGATGAGAAGATGCATTGAATTATTATTTGTGTTATTAGTGAGTTAGAGGTAAAATGTGAATGCGTAGGATGCGTACCATGGAGTACAGACCATGGAGTACTTGTGCAGTAGTTACCAGCAACAAATTAGATATAGCACATATAGCAACATGGATGACCCCCCCAAAAAAAACACATTATGTTGAGTGTAAAAAAAGATGATAGTGAGCTATAACATACTGCTTATGTTAATTGAAATACATGCACACATACAACAATATGCAAACAATGTGTACAAACAGATGCCTACACATTAAGCGCATTAGAATATTTGTCTCCAATAATGGGGAAGAGAGGAAAGGGACAGGATTATGGAGATAAAAGGGAATAAATAAATAAGTAAAACAAGAGAGGGGTCTTTCATGGACCCATGATGACAATGACCCATTAATAACCCTATGAGAATGATTAACTCAAACTTCTGTATCTGAGGTAACAAAAAGATAAATAAAGCATATTTATATTTTTGCCCCTTACCATCCAAGTACATGACACCATCTTGATTTTCTTCATTCATAGGGCTTCTGGAAACAAGAAAGAAAAAAAAGTGAAGGTGGACTAAGTAGATGCTCATCTTACAAAAAAATAATAAAAGGATACTTTTAAGAATTATTCTATTCTTTTTAATATTTTCTCTGATTTAAAACTTCAGAAGTCATTAGAATAGGCTTTCAGTATATATTTATGCTGCTACTGCTGCAAAAAAAAATGGAGAATTCTGGCGCTTGAGTACAGCACTGTCCATTCATAGTGAACATATGTGATAAATCCATTGTGTTGGGCTAGTAATGTTTTTTTGTTAAAACAGCAGTATACCAATAATTCAATTCAGAGATTCTGAAGGCATTTGATTAGTTTTATGGTATAGATACCAAAGAGAATCAGTTCTATTCCTTGACTTCTTCCTCTTTTCCAAATGTTCTCCACCTGGCTTTACTCCCATCGTTTGTGGCTTGAACTCCAAGGTGCATCACGCCAAACCACTTCACTCCAGCTGCTCTTAACATTTATCAATGCCTGGGCCCCACAAATCCTTATGGTTTATGGAATCCTCCGTATTTTCTGTTTCTATTCTTAGGTTGATTAGCATAGGTGGAGAAAATTGCCGTTTTCTTGATTCTGGATATTACAAGTAATTGGCATTCAATCTCAACTGTACCCTCTACATTATTCTACAATCTCATTACACTTTTTTTTCCTAGCCAATTCTCTCTTGCATCATCCGTCCTAAAGGCTATTTGAAACCTTCACTACTTTCCACGAATCTGCCATTCCTCTCCTCTTCCCTATTATCAGATAGATGATCTTGTTTCTTATTGCGCTGATAAAACAGCAGTTATGGGTGTGAACTCTCTTAAGAAAATACATTCTTTTAACCCTCACACTTATCTACAGTTATACCCATCCTTACCGTCTCCCTACCAAAGTTCTTCTTTCTACCTGTATTCTGAATCTTATGTGCATTATTAGTGATTTTACTCCTTTTATGCCTTCCTTTGTGATCATATTATTTATATTATTATTGCTCTTGTTCTTTCACTCCCCATTCCTAAATATCTCACTCTGTTGTCGCTTTCACCCCAAGTTACTCTCATTCATTAAACAACAACAACAAAAAACCCAAACACTTCCCTTTGCCTTTCTAAATCTTCCACATTGCCCAAAGATAACCTTCCCTTTCCCAGCCAAAGTAGAAAAAGAAGACGATACTCACTGACTTTACTTCGTCTCCTCCCACTTATTTCTCATTGACTACAATCTGGCTTCTATTGCCAATCCTTTACTGAAACTATTCTGAAAAGACTTAATTAACAAATCCACCGGACGCCTCTCAGCCTGCATCTTACTTGATTGCTTTGTGGCCATTTTGCCTTCCTTGAGTCTCCTTTGTTTCCGCGACAAATCTCTTCTGTCTCACCTCTGGTCTCTCTGCTCACTATCCCACAATTTCCGTTGTGGGTTGATTTTCATCTGACTTCCCCTTTAAAAGAGGATGTTCCTTTGTGTTTCAGTCTTGGCTTTCTTCATTTTTTTTTCTCTCTCTACATCTGTTCCTGAATGGTCTCAAAACCCCCACAGCTTCACATATTATCTTAATGTTGGTGACTTCCATATTGAAATCTCTAACCCAGGCCTCTTTTCTGAGTTTCAGATCTATATATCTATCATCTATCTATGTATCTATATATCTATCAATCATCTAGCTTTACTTGGATGCTCCACTGCCAGTTCTATATAAACATCTCAGATGCTGAGGCTTCCCTCCTCCATCCCAGCATAAACCTGTTTTTCTTACTAGGTTTCCTATTTTGATGAATGGCACTGCGATTCACATATTCACCTAAGCCTCAAGTCATCCTTTCTTTCTCACTCTTCTTCAGTCCCCACATCAAATTAATCAAGTTCTGTCAGTTCTACATCCTTAATGTCTGCTATTATACTTCACTTTCCCTTTTCGTCTCTCTCCTCTTTCCTGTCAGACACGAGAACAGAATTGTATCATCTCTTGTGTGGACTCTTGTGTGAGCCATCTGGCCAGTCTTCCAGTGATGAGAATGCTCTTTATCTTTTCTACCCTCACAGTCCCTCCTCCACACTGCTGCCAAAGTGATTTTTCAAACACAAAAATAAGATTATATTACTCGTATGTTCAATATTCAAGCCACTTAAAGAATTAGGAAAGATTGTTATTGAACCCAGGAGATACTGATCGAAAAACTAATCCTATTTGAGAGTGTGGGTTGGAAGGGCCTTGTTATCACTAATATAAGAAGGGCTCAGTGGGTACAGTTGTGGCTGAGGGAGAATTGCCACCGATATACGTGTCTCAGCCTCTATCTGAGATAGTAAACATGTGGTCATAAACTGTTAGTCTAATAAACTCACTTTTTTTCTGAAGTTGAAAATTTAACTTTTATATGCATAGCTTTCTATTTAGGTAAGTGTAAAGGCTCAGATTGATTGCGACAATGCATTTGTTTCTCTTAGTGAGCCTTTTTAGATCTTGAAAGATTCAGAATTAGGTAGAAAAATGATGGAGTAATTCAAACCCATAGTACAAAATTTTGTGGAATAAGTTTTATAATCATGGGGATAATACACATATGTTCAATATTTTAAGTATTTGTAATATTTAAGAGATTTTTACCCCAGAGAATATTCAGTTGACATGTCATGTCCTTTTAAAGTTTGTGAGTTAGACTTGATTATTTTAGTTGAAAAGAAAGGACTCTAGGTGTTAAGTGTCAACAGCTGCTGACATCACAAAAGACAGTCAATCAAACATTATGATCTCCTAATAAAAGAATACAGCATCATCTAGATAGGAGTAATACTTTTATACACACATAAATTTGATCAAGCTGCCTCTACAACTAACTACCAATTTACAAGAAATACAGAGAAAAGAGGAAAGCAATCAGCAAAGTCTAGACTGTGGGCAGCTACAGTGCCCACAGACAACTTGATTGTTTAACAAATAAACTGCAGCAAATTAAAAAAAAAGTGACAGAGGGTGAACTTGGAGCTTAAAAAAGAGAATTACAAAACAGAATAAGCCAACAGGCACAATAGACTTTGTTTGAATACTTATTCAACCAAACTTAAAAAAAGGTCCCCCACACAATTTGAGACAATTGGAAACTGGAACAATGACCTGATGTTTTATATGAATACATAGAGTCTATTTTTAGGGATACCTACTGAAATATTTATGGATGGAATTATATGTTTGGTATTAGTTTGAAAATAATATGAGAAGAGGGATGTGTGAATGGGAGTATAGATGAAATAGGATTGGTAATGAGTTTATAATTGTTGGAGTTGGTGAAGGGGACATGGTGGCTCATTGTATTATTCTCCTTGTCTATTATATGTTTAAGATTTTTCAAAATGAACATGCTTGTGAATAAGTATAAGAAAAATCTAATTACAAATGCAATTAGAATATTTAAGGGAACTGGGTGTGACAAGAGACATTTAAGTTCTTGGGAGGGGTTTGCTTAGTGGACTTGTTAAATTTGCTCAGTCAGGTATTAGAACTGCTTAAAAATAAAATTCAATATATAAATTTATATATGTAATGTAAAACATTTAGGGGGATTAACTAAATTTATAAAATACAACTATTGATTTGAAAAAATCAGTGTGAGTTGTCTAATCATTAATCAAAGATTCCCCTAAAAATAATTATTGTTAAATAAAACGTACTAGATTTATAAATAAGATGGCAAGTTATAGTATGTAAAGTTAAGTACTTAAAAATCAACTAGGTATTTGCATAAATTTTAATAAATTAAATATTAATTAAAAGCACAAGATGTAAATATCTCATACATCAAAATATACTGACATTCTACAAAATAAAATCTATAGCACTTTTCATGGTACATAAGGTTTTTACCATAAGCCCTGTTCTTTTGCAGTTTCATTCTCATGTTTCCTCTTCTTCTATTATCTCCTTTTCACATATTAATAGTGAATGGACTTACTCTTTGAACACTCCCTGGTTTCTTGTTCCTCCAAGCTTACTCCTGCTGTTTCCCTTGTCATCATCTCTTGCCTGTGGCCCTCCTTAATCTTTAAGCTTCTCAGTAAACACTGCCTCCCCTGTGAAGTTTTCCTGGACTCCCTTAAGCCCATGCAGTTGCATCTTCCATATGTCATGCAGGGCTTCATTACAGTGATTATTCTGTATTACTATAATTGCAGAGTAATTGGCGTGTCTCTCTTCCTACTGTGAGACCCATAAGCCCCTTGAGGAAACATTGTCGCTTGGTTAGTTAACTTATTATTAAGGCTGTCATTTTTAGAAAGCTATTAACAATAATTTCTGTCATGAATAGGACTTATTTTCTTTTGGATGAATTAATGATATCCTAGTAACACTAAGAAGCTAAATTAACTTTTATTAATAAAGTGAGTTATTACTATTTTTGAAAGAGAATATTAAGTCAAAGACTACTAGACTTTCAGTTTACTTCCTAAAACACTTGGATGAATAACAAATGCTAGCAAAATGAAGGTTCTCTGCATATCACATTCATACATGTGTCTACACATTTATGCAAACCATTTATTACTTGTAGGGAAAGTTTGCATGAACACATTTTTCATAGACCCAACATTATAGCATATAAATCTTACTTTATTTTATGTAGGCCTAAATTCACAAATGTATAGCAAAATATTCAATAAATATGAAATACTGATAAGAATAGGAATGAATAAAAAGGAAAAAGATGAGGAGAACTAAGTGGATGTCTTGAAAAAAATCCAGATCAAAGTGCTTAAAAGAAGTGCTGAGAAAAGCTCCATAAAGAGATAAAGAGACAAACAATGAAACTTGTATTGACCTCAGTCATTGAAAACTAAACAGAGGGAGCCGGTAAAAGAGAAGAAAAGAAAGCTCATCAGTTGTTATAATAGTTATGTCTAGTCAAGAAGGCCTTTCACCATAGTTCTTTGTTGTTATGCTATAGCAAGCAGAATTAAATAGGAAAAGCTATGTTAAGACTGTCATTAT